GCCCAAACTTCGTTTTGACGTTTCAGAGGGTTGTGGGTTATAAGGGGTGGGAGAGAGCAGTCTTCTGTCGTTAGTATACTTATACACTTCCTAGCTCGACAATTCCACGTTCCTATTAGCTGTATTTCACCCACACACACACACTCACACGTATACACACACACACACACACACACACACTCACAGACACACACACACACGCACAAACACACCTACACATACACATACACACACACATATATATATATATAAACCAAAATATGTGTGTAAAAATAAAAAAAAATTAAAAAAAAAATGTTACCTTGTTTTATAAAGTATCCTCCCGACAAGTATTTCAGTGCGGACCTGTGCGCCCAAAAGCATGTCACAAAAACTGTTCGAAATGATTTCCGTTTTGCTCGACGCACAGCTGGGCGCGTCTTAGCCATGTCTCTTTACAAGCACGCAATAAAATCACTGGTTGATTTCTGATCACTGTACTCATTTCCTCAATTCGAGCACGTAATTCTTCGCGTGTATTAACCGGTGTTTTATACACTAGAGTTTTTAGCCAACCCCACAAACAAAAGTCTAAAGGATTTAAGTCCGGAGACCTTGGCGGCCAAGGTACAAAACCGCCACGGCCGATCCAACGATTATTAAATTGTCTATTTAAAAATTCACGCACATTTCTTGCATAATGGGGTGGTGCCCCATCTTGTAAAAACCACATGTTTTGTCTAATATTTAAAGGCACATCTTCCAGTAAACCAGGCAAATTGTGTTGCAAGAAATCAAAATAATTTTCACCAGTTAAGCGATTTGGTAATTCAAAAGGCCCCACTAAAATTCCATTAACAATTCCCGCCCACAGGTTGATTGGTTCAAATCGCTGTTGAAAATTGGTTTCCCTTATTTCATGGGGATTTTCAATAGCCCAAACGTGAGAATTACGTGAATTAATAATTCCGTTTCTAGTAAAGAGGGCTTCATCACTCACTAAAATTTGATTTAAAAAATTGTCATCATTTTGATGTTTATTTAAAAGCCAATTGCAAAAGTCAACCCTTTGTTCATGATCTTCCGGTTGTAAGGCCTGCACTTTTTGTATGTGAAACGGATAGAACTGATTTTCACGTAGAGTTTTCCAAGTTTTATACTGACTAATCGCCAATTGAGTTGAAATTTGTCGGGTGCTTACTGTTGGATCATCACTTACTAATTCTAAAATTTGTTCTTCTAGTTCTATTTGATCGTGTGGTCTTGGAGCACCGGCATGATCTCCTCTGTGAGGTCTTAAGTCACCTGATTCACGAGCTCTTGCACTACATTAACAAAGGCACGAGGGGTTGGTTGCAGTCGATTGGGAAACCGATCCGCATAGATCCGTGATGCCGCGGCAGCATTTTGTAAAGACTCCCCGTAAATAAGAACCATGTCCACAAGTTCAGCATTTTCGTAAACATGTGCCATTTTTGATTTGAGCCTCGCAACAGACACGATTATTCACTTACGCGTTACCGACTACCGACTGATACTGACTGTATACAACTGAAGAAAATAATTGTAAAAAGATCGTTCCAAATTCTTTCGCTTTTTGTTTCCGATGCGATGAACGGATAAGGCGGATTATATCTGTTGTTGCCAAACACGAGAACATAATATCATTATTGAGACAGGGCGGTACTCAAACTTCCAAAGGGCTATAACTTTGTTACTTTAATTTTACCAGAAAAATGGTAAAGGAAAAAAACATTTCTTTTGATCAGATACATACAGGGTGGCCCATCCATGTGTGGACAGAATATTACTCATAAACAAATACATTTTGGGAAAACCTATACGGGGGATGTTATACATGAAATTTGAGGGCACATTTCTAAACTATTGGTCATTATACAGGGTGTCCCAATTTCGACCTACATATCAAAGTTGTGATTTTTCAAATAGAATGCCTCAAATTTTATTGCATATTTGGATAAACCAATTCAAAAGAAGAAAATTGATACTACATCCTATGGGGCTTTGGTAATTAGCTACTGAGACATAAGGTGTTTTATCCAGAAAAACCCCCTACTTCGGCAACCCCTCAGTCCGCCATTGTGAGGTGGAGTGCTGAATTTTGTTTAAAAAAACTTACACACCTCAGCTTTTATCTTATTTGTTATTTTTCGAATTTTAATTTTTGCTCATACAGGGTGGTCAAAAACGCAAATTGCATTTTTTCTCAAAAATTTCAAATGCATCACCCTGTTATATATTTGTGCAAGTTTGGATTCAATTTTTAATAAGTTTTTTTTGATACTAGACACATAAGGGTTTGTACGGCTATTTTTTCGGTTATTAGCACGTCTTTCATGGAACGGTTTAATTCTCTAAAATATCGCATCATCCTTGGAAACAAATAAATTGTTGATTAGTTACAAACTGTCAAAATTAGCTTTGCGAGCATTATAATAAAAACGTGTTTGAAAATGAATTTTTCTAAAGAAGAAATGGTGAAGATGGTGTTCGTTTTGGGCGAAGCACAAAGAAATAGTTTCCTAGCATCTCGCATTTATAAGCAACGGTACCCTAATATGCGACATCCAAGGCCGGAAACATATTCCACACTACGAAAACGTTTTGAATCAAGTGGAGCAGTGGAATATAGTGAAAAATGTCCAAAAGATTATTCACAAGTATAGGTGTACCACTCATATCACCTATGCTTGCATCAGGGTCTTCGTCCGCAGGGTTTTGCAGCTCGAATTGAGTTTAGTAGAATTATGCTAAATAAAGTGAGTGAGACACTACTTTCCTGGGTAAGGATTAACAGGTAAACATTACTTAAATCTTTTGATCGAGCATTTGCCTTTACTTTTGGAGGATGTCAACCTGCAAACTCGGATGCATAAGTACTTCCAACATGACTACGCACCTGCGCATTATCATAATCGTGTGCGTAACTATTTGGACACCTGGAGTAACAATCGTTGGATCGGTCATGATGGGCGTACATCTTCGCCTCCTAGATCATCAGATATGATACCAATGGACTTCTTTCTATGGGGCTACGTTAAGCAAGAGGTTTATAGATATCCACCATCTACCCCGGAAAATATGAAGGAAATGATTAAGGATGCTTTTCTGAACATAAGGGAACACATGATGAGGGATCTGCAACGGTCATTTTATAAAGACTACCGCTGTGTATTCAACATGGTGGAGATATTTTTGAGCAGTTTTTGCAGATTAGGTCTTGAGTAGTGATAGTTGTTTGTTTATGTTGGTGTTGTAGTTGTTTTCCTCTATTACGCTTGAAGCTGATTTATACTGTTCTGATTGTTATCAGTTTTTAAGTCAAATCTATACTCTTAGTGGCAATATAGAACTAGATCACTCTTTGTCTTTTGTTTCGTGTTGGATGATGCGATTTTTTCCTTTATTTTGGTGTGTTGTTCTATTAAAAGCTTAATAACTCAAAATCTAGTGATTTTATCTGAATCAAACCTTATACCAAAAAAGGTTTATAAAAAATTGAATCCAAACTTGAAGTGTCATTGATCTGACAACAGGCCACCTCTGAACAGCATCGGGTATAGACATCGTACTCGGGCAACCTGTCAGCAGTCCTCGAGGCTGGGTTTTATCTGATCCTTACAAAGTGAGGAGGTAATGTAATTGATAGGATAAACAAAATAACATCCTGATCTGGAATCCTTGGCAGGTACGCTTTATTATTTGTAAATCCGAAGAGAACCATTCCTCTGACTAAGGCATATTCGGCTCAATATCTCTATGTTACGAGTTTGATCCGGGACTGCTTTTCTGCGAATCCATTACCGTGTATACTCGATCAGAGTAAATTAGGTCAAAATTTAATGTATAACCAGTCAAATATCTCTCTCGTGGATATACCCTAGGGCTTTCCATTCATTGGGGGTGTGGGAGAACATGCCAGAGTGAAAAGTTCGCAGCATCCTAGCGGATGTTAGTGAGGCTTCTGGAAAATATATTACAGCTTTTATCTTGGATGTTGTTTATGGTTTGAACAGATTGAGTTTAGCAGTTTGGCAAAAGCGATATTTACAAAGTTAAATGATAAACGAAGAACGTTCAGTTTACTTCTAGTCCTGGAGATCTGCTGCCACCTATTACTGACCTCTGGTGGCCACATCAAAGCCACTAGTAGCCTCTACAAGTTGAAGAAGATAGATACAGGGGTATCCTGGAAGTCTGGACTTTCCGTTTCAGAAACAAAGTTTGAAATAACAAATTTAGAAAAAAGAAGAAATGTGCTCATTATCTATTTGGTACTGCATCTCAAAAACGGCTCCGTCACGGTTTGATTGTAATATGAAAAGCTTACGGCTGTCCATGCCGGCGCTAACATTCTGACGTTCGAATGCATTCGCGGAGTATCAATGGCATCTTGAAAACGCTCAGAGTAAAGTAACATCAAATCTATAACTATGTTACTTCTGTATGAAAGTGCCAATTTCAGTGTTCAAATGTGGTTTGTTCTTAAACTAGGTTAACCTTCACACCGCATGGCGCCTGATTTGGATACTGACCCCCATAGTCATAGTACCACAAAACATCATATCATTAAACGTAGGAGGGAAGGGAGAATAGCTTCTTTAGTCTCTTTCTAACTTGATATTTCCATTACCTTAAGGCTTTCGTACATATGTTACTAGGAAAACTTGCTTATTGTTGACTGAAATACGCTCTGCAAATGGAGGTCCCAATTTTGAGGACACCCTGTATGTATATTTAAGATACGATCTGAAGCCGAAACTGTACCATATTTTGTCCGACAGGAATTCGTTACAGTTAAAGGTTTTTTAAAGTTCTCAGCTATATCTTTGCTTTCAATGGTGCATAATACGTAAAATGCTAATGCATAAAACCACAAAAGTCTCTCAATAGCTCTCATGAAAATGTATATTTTGTTCATACGTGGGTGAGGTGAAAACTTCTCAGCATGACAATGATATACTGCGATTTAGAGTTTAAAAATGATTTAACTCACTTACATAATCCCTTTCGACTCCACCATACTGGCTCCAACTTTCCCCAACATTAGGATCCCTTCAGTCTGAAAGGCTGTCAAAATATTCAACCATGGCAGATCATACCCCAAAATCTACAGTTTTTCCACTGTTAACACAGATTAGTGAAGAAGCGTTGTCCCGTTGAGAAATTATTTCTGCTCCAAGCTACGCCAATGCTCATGAATTTTGGTATCCAGTTGATTAAGGAAGTTGAAATGGCATTCGCTCGTGACTGATACAATCAACTCTCTTTCTCGATGAGCCACCGGCTTCTACCCTCTGCTTCTAATGCTGTTCCTAACGCTTAATGGTAGACCCATCTCTCATCCGTGGTAACTAATTGCAACCCAAAATCGGTCAGATCCCTATGGAATTGGTCGAAAGCAAAAGTCGCATCCGCCTTTGACCGGTACTCAATAAATACTAAGGCAGCAGCGGTGGCCGCAGTAGTAGACTCTTCGGTCTCCTGATCAGTCGCCGTGCGCTGTGCGGGTTCGAGTGCCGTCCCAGGAGAAATTTTTCTCTTGGCTATGGATGTTGTGATTGTCCGTAGGTGGTAGACGGTATCTGACTGTCGAACGTGGAGGTACCACCCGGCGGATCTCGTAGGAGAAAGAATGTGTGCATGTTGCATGCACACGTGTTCCCTCGCCAGAGTCCGTGTGGCGTTCCCCCTTTCCCCTGTATCCCCCTATAGCCCCACGGTACCTAATGGGTGTATAGGCCTGAGGCCTTCGTGGTAGTTGGAGTATAAAAAAAAATGTGGCACCCACTTTGCGCAGAGCATTCTCATCACCAATTCTTTGTGTGCGATATTTCATACTTCTTCTTCCGTCCCCATGGCCTCAGCTATCTTACTCACCTTGGTATGCCTATCATCCAACAGGAAATCGTGCAATTTTTTCGATGGTTTCGGATTTTGGCCGTCCTCCACGTCGCTCATCTCCAAGGAACGTGTGAGATCGTTCAAGTTCAGCTATGTACCTTTTAGCAGTTGTCATTTCCTCGCAAACGTTTGTAAGATTCGGAAGAATTTCTTTAGGGGTCCATCCATCCAACACGATGAACTTGATGACGGCTCGATGACGAAAGACGTCTACTTGTGCAGGCAAACTACTTGAGATGACAAGCATGAATCTGTCATACAAACAATGTGCATGTGTCATGTGCATCCATGCAGTAATTATAGCTTTTCTTAAAACAGGCCGAGAACCTTTCAGCCTAAGTAAATACCGACTAATACTATACATTTAAACCAAGAACCTTTCAGCCTAAGTAAATATCGACTAACACTATACATTTAAACCACTTAGGACCTGATAAAGCATAAATACATTACAAGAAAATGTCTGGATATCTTTTTTCCCACGCCTGGCTTGGAAGTATTGTAATCGGGAAATTTTCGAAAATGAGATTATGTTCTTTGGATGTTATATGAGATATACTTAGCGAAAAATCATGTCACTTATTTCCGTCGGTCAGTATGTCTATGAGTCTGATGGTCGCGACAGTTTGTATTTTTTGAAAATCGGTCCAGTGACGGCAGAGAAGAAGGGCAAAAACCAAAAAGAATACAAAATGCCTAAATTTTGTTTTTTGACGTTTCAAGACTCTGAATATTTATCAAGAAAATATGGGACCAAAAACATGGGCAAAAAAATTTGGGATTAGTGGATCTAGGGGATGAGGAGGGTTTATACCGATTTTTTGATATTAGTACATTTATACGCTCCCAACGTTGGTTATACGCACATGTTTGATATATTTTACACGTCAGAGATTTCCCGTACATTAGCCCTTAAGGCACCTCCGACGCAGTGAGTTTCAAGCCATCTACAAGGGTTCAGCTGCTTCAAAACTGACACTCCATTTTTCAATATTTTTGAATGAAATTCATACAGTATGTTGAGAAGATAATTGCCCAGGGTACTATAGGAGCATTGTTTGAAATTTTGTTTTTGCACAAGTTTTATGATGGGTGGAAGTGCGCACTATTTCTGTTCAACTTCGCGATTTTTTTAAAAAGAACCTAGTGAAAAAAATGGAAAAGTGGTTCTATAGCACCCTGTGGGGTATTGATTTCAGCACTCTGTGAAAATTTCATCCAAAAATATCAAAAAATAAAGCGTCAATTTCGAAGCGCGCAAACCTCTACAAATCGTATTTTGGACGATTTTTGTCTGCTGTTTCGTGCTGCCAACCCAAGCGTTGCGGCGCAATGTACGGAATAAGAAAGGACGTATTCAGATAATTTGGTGGCCCTATTTCATATAATATCGCGTAGATAAGTCGTTTCGCAAATAGGTACTCATAATCGCGATCGCTGATACTCCTCGATTTTAAAGCCATTTTACTTCCCACGTCATTGGCGAGGAAGTATTGTAATCGCGAAACATTTCTAAAATGAGATGTTATGTTTTTTTAAGTCATATGAAAAACTGTATCACTCATCAACTTGGAAATAACCGCTTGGATTTTTATGAAATTTCCACACGGGGTTACTAGTATGCCAAAGCTTTGTAGTTTTAGTCCCGTGGCAACGGTGCTATAGGCAAAAAAGAAAAATTAACAATTGCTAAAACTCCGTTTTTGACGTTACAGGGGTTAATTATCATTGACAGAAAAAAATTGTACTGCTTGGGGGAAGGTGATTCTAACTGTTACATCTTTGAAATCAGTGAAACATGTTCTATTACTAAGAAGCCTCTGATTAAAGTGATTATAGGAAAGTTAAGTAACGAAAATCCGACGAATAATGTGCTCACGATTTGAAAAAATCGGTACCTGCTGAATAGGTTTGACACCAAGAGCCAACAGATCTATCTGCAACTGCCGACAGTAGGGAAGAATGAATTCGGATATCACTCCAGTCAATTATAGGGGAATTTAGCGTGGAACTTTAAAATTATCGATATCTCTAGGAAATATATTTTTGAGAACGATAATTTGGTAGATTTTATACCTGCATTTTCATTTGAATTTCATGACCCGTGAAATGTGCCCATTTCGCCGTTACCTTCAATTTGTGTTCTGCAGTTTGTGATATTTTTCTGGATATAAGCAGGACATAATTGCCTAAGGTGCTATCAGAGCTTTTTACAAAATTTTGTCTTTGCGCAAGAATTATAGCGGGTTGAAATGCTTACTATTTCTGCTCAACTTCTTGATATTTTAAAAGGATCCTAGAGGATAAAATCGAAAAAGTGGATCGTTAGCACCCTGTGGACTTTATTTTTAGCACGCTGCAGGAGTTTCATTTCGAAATAATAAAAAATTCAACGTAAGCTGTGAAGTGCAAATCAGTTTTTGGGCGAAATTCGTCTACTATTTCGTCCCGCCAGTCCAAGCGACGCGACGGTGCGTTCTGACTAAGGAAGAATGTATTCAAATAATTTGATATATTTCCTAAAATAAATTCAAGAACTCAAATTAAAATTCGTTTATTCTTGTCAGTAAACACAATTATGTTTACAAGGGTCATGTGGTACATGGTAACAATTGAATGAGGGTCATAAAAATATCTTATGCCGTCAAAATAAGAGGAAACAGTTAGGTAGTTTTTGCAAAGCAATAAACAGGTAGGCTTATACCTGGATTGAGTACATTTCTTGTCTACTGTAATAGGTAGAGGGAGGAGGGAGGCGATGCTGCCAGAAATGGATGTGTGCGATCAATAAACAAACAACAAGACTGAACTGCGGTGTCCAATGATTTTTGTATTGCATTTTTTATTGCCTTACTAGAAAACTCTGTTGGGTATATGATGGAGTTTACTAAAACTTAACAGCTTGTTGTCTGCCTTCTTCTACACACTTCACCAAATCGAAACGCTGTCAACCTTATCCTCCGATTAAGGTGCGACAAAGTACGGTCCTGTGATTTGGTGACTTGTTCGATCTTCAAAATCTCGTCGTTTCTTTTTTAAGTTTCCCTAAGAATTTTCGCTTAGCAACCTCCAAATCAATGTAGTTAATGTCAGGTTTTTGATTGAATTCGCCATAAAACTATACATTGTCTTTGGAATTGCTATCCAATTGTTAGTTATTTTCATATCAGCTTTTTTTGGGCTGAGTTTCTTTTCAAGATTCTTGCGTTTGACTCTTTGTTCCATCTTAGCGATAAGCGAGGTTGGACTAAGCTTAGAAAGCAAATGTATTTAGACTACATATACAGGCTGCTGAATATTGTGGCTCACTACAGCTGCAGCACATCTTTCATGGTATGGCCTCTTCTTGCAATAATTTATTCGCTTACCCCAATGTATTTTGCGATTATAGAGTTGACCTGCTCCACACTATTGTTGACCTCATCACGAATTAACCTCACTGCATTCGTAATTAAAATGGTCGCATATGACCCTTTATTGTCCATTATCAGCCTTGATGAAAAAGGCACTCAAGAACAGTCACACCAACAACAATTCAACAACACAATATCGACGAACAGTAACAAGGGGAGAAAAATACTAAATGATCACTTGCTGAGTACCAAAATAAGAAACGAATTACATTCTAGATCGCTAAACGAAATCCGACTCTATTATAAAAATTTACCTTGGTATGCACCCGCAGTCATCCTTTGCTCTTTTAAAGTAGCGCCGACGACCGTCAACGGCCATCCTATCCTCGTTTCCTTTTCACCCCCCCGTTACCTCAGCAGATGGTGCTCGTGATTGTAGGAACCCCTAAGCCTAAATATACCTGTATTGTCAGTGTTTTGCTGTTCTGTTATGGTACTACAGGTTTCTCTGCTGCGCTACAGCATAGTGTTTCCTTTGCTCTGACCGCCACATCTGACGGGGTTAAGTATCGGGTACGGGCGACATAGCGGGAGATGACAGCCAGATCACATTGCATCGGTGATCTGGCCCGTTGGTCCAAGGGTTCCCGAGACTGTCCGTTAGAGAATGGTCATCGATCAGTAGATCCCTGAACAGCATCCAGCATGGATAACGTAGTCGGCGCAGCAGAATCCCAGATATGCGAGCAGTACTCCAGGCTAGATCTTAACTGGGACTTGCACAGAGTGGGGAGGTTATGCGGACAAAAGTACTTCTTAGCCCTAAACAAATAGCCTATCACCTCTCTACCAGCTTACTTAGAACAGAAAGCAGATCTGTAGGTTTGTAGTTATAGAGATTGGTCATAGATTTTTTTCTTTTAAGACATCTGGTAGAGTCGC